GTGTGGAAAGGAAACATCCCTTGTTGTTTTTTCTCAGGCTTCCTCTCAGAGTGGAGGGTACAATGGCCGTTTTAACGGTGTCACTTTCAATTTCCATCTGCAGTCACCACTTTGTTAATACACAAGTCCATCAGCAGTTTCAACTGAGGATGAAAAAAAATACATCCTCTTCTTTATTTTGGTACAAACATTAACAGAAATACACAAAATGACCAGTTAGGGTTATAGCAGCAGTGGGAGTCAAGCAGGTCCGTGGCAGCAGGCATGTAGTGTCAACAGTATTGCAGTAACTAAATGTAAATAGCACAGCGTTACACGAGCTAACATGCCCTTGTGCACATGCAGTGCATTTCTCAGTAAGAATCCCATGCATCTATATGCACTGCACATTGCTCCAACTCAGCTATGGTTTTTGTATCATAAACACACACATGACACATTCATACATCAGTAACACCCCTATCTGTGTCACTCCCCTGAGTGTGCCACTTCTCAAACACACACTCACTGATGGTCCGGTATGTGAAAGTATCACAACCTCATAACAAGCAGCTTTACACGGCAGCTGCTGCTGTGCTCATTGCGCACTGCTGGCACGCCTCGCTCCATAAGTAAACCCACGCTCCGGGTATTTGTGGCATGCGATCCCAACCAAGCTGGGGGCATTGTGCACTTGTGCAGGGGTCAAGGCGAACTCCAGCAGAGGCCTTAAAGTCAGCAATTGGAACAGCAAGGTCAGAACTTTCAGTGAGGGGGCAGGTTGGGTGGAGGGTTTGGGTTGGGGCTGCAGTTACATACCCACCCTACATAGGGAATCTAGTGTACCACAAAAATGTGTGTGCTGACACCATGATGATCTCAAGAGCTTGTAGCTGCACTTTCTAGCTCGTTTCTGATCGGACTCTGCTGTTTGCTCTGCTGAGTTAATTCTCTGTTTGTTATATCACTATGACTGTCGTCTGATCAAACAGATTTAAAGTGGAGTATCGTATTAAAAGGAGGTCAAAGTTGTTTTTTTAGATTAAACAATTCAAGACTTGCAAAGGATACCTGTGACCTAAAACTGAAAAGTACCTCATTCACAGTCAATCTACAGTCAAGAGAGCAACATGTGATGATTGACTCAAAAAATATGCTTTAATAGGGTGACCATACGTCCTCTTTTACCCAGACATGTCCTCTTTTTGAAGGGGCTGTTTGGGCTGTCCGAGGATGTTCATAGAGTCCTTCAAATGTTCGTGGTGAGTTAGTGTTACTGAATTAGAAGCGCGTAAAAGACATTTTATTAGACCCAAAATACTCTCAAAATTAACTTCATGTGACTCCGTGACTCCGCCCCAGCGTAGTCTTGTTATCCTTTTGGGGAGTCAGAATATAGACACCGTAGCTTCACAGCAAATCTACAAATGTGACCTTAAGGGATCAATTTTGGCCCCACTAATTTTTTTATATTTTTAATTTTGTTGTTTGATCTTTTTATTGATGATCTGCCTCAAAGTTGTAAAGGGGCGCTCAGCTTCATACTGATGATACAGTCTGAAATGCGTCAGTGAAGACACCCAATGAAGCAGCCAAGAGTTAATCATGATAACTGGAGAATATAAGTGGCTTCATAAATGATTTTTTTTTCCATGTGCTTTCCATCAGCAAACCATAACAATGATAAAGAACACACCATCAGAGGCTTTCATCAAACAGACATTAAAATAATCCTTTAAACATCCCCAAATAGTGGCATTTATTACCTTAAAACCAAGTGCAAATAGCACCCTTGAGCCATTGTTACATGGTTTCTTACAAATACAGTTTAATGACACCCTTTGTGACTGTATGAAAGGCCAAAAGGTTGAGACAAGCTTTTGTAGTCATTGACCCGACAAGAGAAGATGTTTGGTACATACGGGCTCAGACTTAATAATCCTTGTTCTATTTATCTCCCAGAGCTTAACTAACGATCCAGACAAAACACACAGAGTGAGAGAGTGAACGCCTGCACACGCAGACTGTCCAAATAGACCGATGTTTCCATAGGTTTGCATTGAGTCCTGTAATTTAACAATGTAAACATGAGTCAATTAAATGTTAGCGCCTGTTAATGCAAACAAGGCGGCCCTCCCTCCCTCCCTCTATCCCTGCCCTCTTTGGAGTCAAGGTCATTACGGCAGAGCGGCTGCGACACCGATTGCAAGGCCGAGTGAAAGATGTGCACCTGTCTCGCTAACTGTCAGAGCCAACTGTCGTGGACAGACGGTCGTGGGAAAACTCAGAGCATGCTGTGCCGTGTTGTTTTGTTAGTGCGTCTCAGCTGACTGATGGGATGATCTGCCAGCTTAGGGACGGGAGCTAAATTTACAGTCCAGTGGAGCGCTCGACTCGGCAAATGTGGCATAACTGCATGTGTCAAAGATCAGAAAGAATTATAATCCAATCTGCTGAGGTTATTTTAAGAGGAAATAACTCAATTTAAGAGAAAGAGAAGAGAAACGTCAATTCTGATGAATCAGCCTTGTCAATCCTTTAAGAGATTAAATTAGATAAATAAATAAATCTTGACTAAAATTAGCCTTGATTTCTCCAAGCCAACAAACGTTGAAAATATGAAAAAGTGTGTTTTAAGATTTATCAACCTCTTTTCACTCAAGAAAAATACAAATAAGCTCAGTGTGACGCTGTGAAGACTTCTTGTTCTTGTCAATGTCCATAAACCATCATTTTACCCTAACAATGCCTTTTTTCATGATGATGATGAAATCAGTCATCCTTCACAGAAACAACTCCTGGTGCATCTACAGCTTTATTTGAAGTGATGTTTCCTACGTGGTTCAGGAGAGGACGGATGATATGTTTTGGTGCGCCGTGTCTCACACCTCACCCACACCATGTGGATTCAGACAAAGATTCTGTCTGGAGACCGAGTTTAGTTGCACATGCCTCACGTTTTAAAAGTGAACTGTTTACATCTCAGGAGTGATGAGTTTGAGGAACTCCAGAGATTCTTCATCTTAACCAACACTTGTAAACACGATGATTTGTAACAGTGTGCGTGTTTGTAAAGGGAAGTAGTATTGGGTAGTAAGTTCAGATGAGTCATGCATAGTCATGTATTCTCTATTGTGTATACCTTTATTGTGTCACTCAAATTCTCAGTCAGTCTACTGGCAGAACTTATCAGATCTCACTAACTAGCTTATTGGGTAATCTTGTCACGGTAGAAAGTGTCCACAGCACACATTTTGAAGCTCTGTCCATATTAAAGGTAAGTATTGCAGTCATTTAATAATGGTATTTTATGGGTTTCTTTCATTAAGATTAAAGGCTTATCATACAGCTACTGATATATTGTAGCTTAGCAGATGATTTGTTAGTTGCACCCTTATGTTTGTATGATTATTGAGGACAGCAGAGGGAGGCACAGTCAATAAAAACTTTTTAATTAGCATTTTTCAGACTCTACACTTCCTTTCTGATACGTCTTTAATAGCTTTACATTCCAGCCTCCGTCTGAAACGCTTCATTTAGCTGCTGTCTCTTTAAGTTGTCGCTGCTTGAGTTTTTATGTGATCCATTTACCATGTGGGAGCAGCGTTTGGATTCCTTTTTTCTCTCAGGTAAACAACATCAGCACAAATGCTCCTGAAGAAATTCTTGGTCTTTGTAGTAATCCAGATCATTTGGAACCAGCTCTATACAGGCTCTTCACTGGCTACCAAAGAGCTCCTCATAGCATCATTTTGACCCTAAGTCGCTACTGACACATAAGTCACTCCCCATCCCAGCACAGATGTTTGCAGCCACAATGCTTCACTCCTGTAGTGATATCAGGTAACAACAAAGACAATTAGAGTTCAATCCCTCAAAAATGAAAGTAGTAGCTGTTGATTTATGCATGAAATAAGGTTATTTCTGTTGTGAGCTGTTTGTGCTCGACAGAAACTAAAATCTTGTTTTCATCTGTCAACCAATCAAAGGCTTTTTCTGTGATTCATTCATTTCATCTCATAGCTCATATCTCTCCCTGTACTAATCCTGTACTGTCTTGTACTTAAGTGGTTAATTTAGATTCGTGATCACTTTTTATTTTTTATTGACCTAATATTCATTTTAAGACATCAAAAACATGTTGAAAACACCTCGTAACCAGGTTTTAATTAATACATACATTTTACTTTCAGTTAATACTGCTTTCTGCATGTATACCAAGGTTTGATTTCCATCCAACAATAAAGCACTTGTCTTCCTGAGTTTGAAAGACTAAAAACAACATCATCTAATATGTTTACATGTACATATCCTGCTGCTTCCTACAGCACTGTGAAGACCACGTCATGCCATATGGAAGCCAATGATTGACAGGCCTTTTATGACTCATCATATTGCTGCGCCATGATTGGATAACTGCTGTTGAGTGCAGGGGTTTTGCAGACATTGTCAGATGTCGAGTTGTTATTATGTTGTAAGGCAGACTGAAGTCATTGGTAAGGCCACTTAGACAATTTCCTCCGAGGTTAGAGTAGGTCATGTAGCCTTTGATCTGCTGAGCTCAGATACAGATTTCTGCACTCAGCTGACCTGTGATTTCATCTTCATGGTCCTCATCCTGCTTCCAATTCTGACACCTCTGAGGATAACATGTAACAGGAAAATAAATTCCTCAGATCTATTCTCAAATCAGGGTGAGTCAACAAGTGGGTCTTGGCAGGAAAAAGGTGAGGATTTGTGTAACTAATCTGAAAGGCTGCACTAACACTCAGTCCTCTCCACAGATCTGTCTGAAACAAACAAAGACATTTTAAAACTTTCATCATTGGATGCAAAGGTTATCACTCTGATGTGGCCTCTGATTTCTTTTTTTTTTTTTTTTGATCTGTATCTCTTAATTGGTCCGTGTGAGAGGTGCTGAAGACAAAACATGAGAGTGAAGAAGTGAAGAAGTGAAGACGTGAAGCGATGCCAGCAGAACGGCCAGGCCAAAGGAGGAAGGACTATTGTTCTTGGCGTGCATCGAAGTGGCTAAATCCAAGCACCCAGATGGACTCCAACAAGCTCCAGCAACAACACACACACACATATACACACACATATACACACGGAAAGAGAGAATAGAGGTCACGTCAGGATACACGCACAGTAAATCCATTGTGACTGGCTGTCTCTTTTCAAAGATTTTTCATTGCTCTCAGACCTTATCAACCTCGAGCACACAGCAGAGAAATACTTGTGAAACAATTAGTCTCATATTTAAAAGAGAGACCAGGCTTTAAAAGCAGCATGAGTGGCTGTTTTGAAGCATACAGGGAAAGAAATTAATCAATGTGCAGAGATTGAATTTGAGAAATCGGCTGCTTTCTTTCATCACGTATAAGAGTTGCAGTCATTGTTGGACTCCCATCCAAAATCTACCCAAATGCATTTGGTCAAATTCATTATGTAAGTAGATCGCTCTCTTTGTTAATGCCTTGATGCAAAATTTAATTATCTGGTACAATTGAAGAGTCTGTATCAGGATAAAAATGTTCATGCAAAAGCTTGTGGTTTCAGAACATGTTTTCAAGTTTTTTGCAACAAAAACTCAAAGACTTCTTTGTTGGGTAACAGGTGGTGGTGGGCAGAGAGGAGGGAGGTGAGTCTCAGGAGGCAGAACAGGACATCAAAAGCTGTGTACTGTAATATAAAGACAGATCAAACAAAGTTTTAATTTTCATGTATCATCTTTATGAGGATAATTTAAGGATTAACTTTAAATTTAAACCAAGTGAAGCCTCCAGGACTGCCTCAGGGCCATAAAGTGCGGGACTTCTGAGAGTTGCTGTTGGAGGAGAGTGGGTGAGTTGTGTTTGGTCTCTTTGCTAAAGAAACCATAAGAAATATGTTTGTTGACTAGTACTATGGCTGGGACCCTATATGTACTGTTGATGAAGTTAGGTGCTGTTCTGAGCATTATTTGTGGCTATAGAGTGGCTTTTTGGTTGAGGTTTGCACTTGGAGACGTAGACAGCTGTGTATTGCTCTTGTGTAGTCGTTACTCAAGTTGCTATTACTAGAGACGCAAGCAGTCAGCAACATTCATCTCTCAAAGGGGGTGTCTAACTCAGTGTTACTGTGTGTTTGACAAAAACTTAATTTTATGTTGGATTACCCCTTTAAGCACTGGTAAAACTGAAGTTTTTGTTATTGCTCAAAATAGAGACATTCCAGTAATAACGAAAAAATAGGCTTTTCTCCTCTACAGTTCGCTCCAAAGTGTGTAACTAAGGAGTAATTTTCTAACCACAGTTTGTTTGACAGTCATTTAAAGCAGCACTCTGGGTCATGTCTCTACAGTGTAAAAAATGACTGAGAAAATGACGCGCATGCATCCTGTGGGTTTTATGCTTGAGATGCGCAAAAAGGCGTTTAAATTTGCTTCTCCCTTTTCTTGGCCCCGAAGTATTAACTGTTAGACAGAAATTATCTCAAGGCATCCAAACATGCCTTCAAGGCAAGCTGTAAATTTAATACTCATTTATCTGTTGCTATTGCTGCGGGCTACAGAGGTGGCAACTGAGGAGAGTCTTCTGTCCTCAATGTGTACCTATGCAAGACAGTGAGCATACTTGAACAGGTTGCTCTTTACGCAGATGACACATGTATGTCAACACCTGAGCAGACGGAGGTGATTATGAATACACAGAGTCAAATTATCGTATCAATCTTTACCTGTAGGATTGATGGCAAGACAAATGCAGACAAGCTGACAGATGAACAGGTACATGCAAATATGAAGAAAGGTTATTTATATTTGCTTTACCTTAAAAAAGTACAAACCTATCAGACACGTTCCATCAATGTAAATCACACACTAACCCAACACTCCACTTGCATTTACATATGTTTTATTGAAAACAGGGATGAATCATAGGGAATATACATATTGATTTAGATTTATTTCATGAGAACAATGATTTTTTTTTCCTGTCTATCTCTCTTTCACTTTTCCCTCCATCTATCTCAGTGTTTTTCTGTCAGGAAAAACAAAAAAAGACCACAGCAGCCATAGCGACAGAGAGCAAAAAAGAAGACCTGGCCCGGGCCTGTCACCTTTGGAGCATCCTGATTGGTTGAGGCCCGCTGTGTGAGCTTTGTTGCCGTGTGGACGGCGAGGCAGGCAGTTCTCTGAGCGTTGCTGAGGACGCAGAGCTTTCTCAGCAGTCCTGTCAGGGTGGATTTACGCCGCAGGCTCAAAGCTGATTTTTTTTCATCCCTGTGACACATTTTATGGCTGTAGAAGAAGAAACAGGAGAGTTACATTTCAGGCTGATGTCACTGACCTATTGACTGTATGCATACAGAGGAAATGTCAGTGAGCTTCTTTCAAAACAAGGGAGACACCAGACACCCTTTTTTTTTAAATAAAAAAGCAGCAAAGTGAAGACTATTGACTTGTTGTCATGGAAATGGTTAGAAAGATATGAAGGTTATTTATCCTGAAGGGGAAATTCGATAAAAGTATGAAGCATGGAAGTATGCTGTTTATGCATTTTTATTTTCAGGAAGTTTCTTTTGAGACAGAGAGACCTGAAACAAATAATGTTATGCATGTCTCAAAAACAGGGTTGAGAAATAAGAGCTTTAGTTATGTTTTAGCTGATGTGAGCTAGCCTCCTATCAATCATTTACAAGAAGTGAAACTGTCACAGCAGCTTACACAACAATGAGGACAACTAAACAAACAAAATACCAAGACTTGGGGCTCTTTTCTGCTTACTAATGGCTGTTTTTAGAGAAACATGTAAACCACTCAGTTACAGTTCCTTCAATAATAACAGCAAAGACATCCCTCACCTTACATTCACTTGACATCCATCCTCCATCAAGAAGTACTGCTTTCACTCAAAAGGGGGCAGGGCTGCAACTTTAGGGTGAAGTGCACTGATGTATGCTGTCGTCTATACCGGCTTCTTGTGTATTATTGAGTCGTAGAGGGATAGCTTGCAGACACACAGCAGGAGCTCCACAAAAACACACACTAAGTTAAACATGCAATGCTGTTCCACCCTGCCAGCTCCAACACCACACAACACTATGACTTCCCCCCATTACACCTATGTTATCACCTCCAAAGGTGGTGCGGTAAAGGACGCATTGTAGTTTCTGTTTGTAGTATGCATTGCAGTTCAAGCTGTAGTGATTGAGCACATACCAACAGGCTTTGGTATGCAGCCAAAGAGCATTGCTTAAATGACATCTCAGCCCTCGGCTGGAATAATCTTAGTCTATTTATTTATATTAATTTGCATGCAAGTGAGGCTTACAGCAGTTCTGGATCAAATATTTAGACTTTATCAACAAATCCGCTTGACGCTTTGTTGTGAAAGCACCTACAAATCTCCTCTAAAGGATTCCCATTGAAATGTGTGATGAATAGCCATTCATTAATTTTTCATCGGCTTATCCTGTTCAGGGTCAAAGGGTGTGCCGGCATCAATCCCAACATGCCATGTGTCATCAGCTCATCACAGTGCTGTCTTTTATTCTTCCTCCAAAGTTCAGGTAGGAAACGGTGCAGATGTGAAAGCCGCTTTCACTTCCATTGTTAGTCATCCTGCTCTCATTTGTTACCGCCCCGTGGCAGTGTGCTGATAGATGAGGTTAAAATACAGTGAATAACCACTGACAGTTGTTTCCTCCATGGGAAGAATACATACAATGAGCTCCCTGATTCTGTTGTTCCCAGACTGAGCCCAGATTGAGGTGATGACTTCCTATGACTCCACTGACTCACTCCTGTCTGCGTTGGGGATCCACAGTATGTCAATCCAGACCTCCTGTGTCTGCTGCAGAAAAACAGAAGCTGTACAAAAGGGGAGAGAAGGACAACTGATGGCTTTGTTGACATGTTGTCATGAATTCAGAGCCAAAATGGCTGACTTTTTTTGTTTAGTTAAACAAATGCAATCCATCATTGTCAGAACACCTGTTGTCAGGCCAGCCAAAGCACATGGTAACTGAAACCAGTTAACCAGCAAACTTTCTAACAGTGGTTAAAAAATATCAGTATTTTTTCATCTGGGCTTTTTTGTTCTACATTCTGGTGTTATGCTGCATTCCAGTTGTACTCAGGAGTTTGAATTTCCGAGCTCCAAGTAAGAAATTAATCTGCAACGCCCCCCTGAAGTTGGATTTTCGACGCAGAAAGTCAGACGATCCTCACCAACCCGTCATAATCCAAGATGGCAGCGCAGTCCATCAACAGTAAAGAGTAACAGTGAAAGCTCTTGTAATGTATTATTTGTTAGCACTTCTGTTTTGTTTTTGTGAAATTAAATAAATGGTATGTTGTACTGCCCAGTGTCTGTGAACACGGTGCTATGGTGTTTGTAAGAGTAAAATACTGTGTTATGCCTCCTTCACAATTGGTATAGCTAACAACTACTGACAACGGCTGACAACAGCTAACAGTAGACATCCATTTTGGTTTTCCGACTTGTTAACTGGAACACTGTCAACTCAGGTGTAACGTCATTCCCAGCTCCGACATCTGACTTCCAAGGTAACTGGAACGCAGCATTAAAGTGGTCTTAAATGAAGAGGAAGGTTGGTTTTAGGTATCCAGACTTGACAGTGAACTTTTGGAGTGGGAGACAGTTTTACAAGTCTGCATGAGCAACATCACCCACCTTTCCTTTGATGACGATGAATTTCTGGCCTCTCACTTTTCATACAGCAGCATTGTTGACCCAGCCTGATCAAAAATACATCGGCTGTCCATACTTGAGTAGGCCTTCATCCTGGCAGTAGTTGAAGTGGAGGGATTCATGGGAAATGTCATCGAAGTGAAGTTCTGTCAAAAACTTTGTTCTTTGAAGTGTTTGAACTAGTGTCATGGGTGCTGTAGAAGGGCATAAAGTATTCCCAGGTATATTGTCTGTGTTCGTGGTTTTGACACAGCCGCTCTCTAATCTTATACAAGTGAATCATAATGTGCTTTGTCTAAAACTGTTATTCCATTCATGGCCAAAGTGATAAATGCACCAGTAATTGTGTGCTTTTTTCCTTCATGCTCAGACATGTTTCATGCAGCTGCAGAGTATGAGGCCTGTAATTACCTGCTAATGTGTCACAGGCATTAGACGGAGCTGTGACCCCTGATGGTGGTTAGATTCCCCAGAGAAGAGCCTGAGGCACTCTCACGCTGCATTCAAGCTTAACTCTCCACTCGCATCAGTCACACAAAGGATAATGGGCATAATTCACAACTAAACACACAGGCACAGTCACATACTCAATATATAAGGTCCTTTGTAAAGACTCACAAAATATATAAAAACTAATAATACATGTTATTGACAATTACTCACAACATATTTGGCCCACTTAAGGGCAGCAGACACAAGTTGCGAACACGGCACTTGCAAACACTAAAAAGGCAGTTGGTAAACATACATTCAGTATTTACTTTACTACAAGAGTTTTGGTCTCAAACAAATCCTGAGGGAAATATCTGGCTTATTAGCAGCTAAATGCTCCCATATGAACTCTAGCTGATGGTTGGTAATGAAGCAAGAGGCAGCTACAGGGTATGGAAAATACGTTTCAACCACAACTTAATGTAGTGTTTCTATTTAAAGTGATTTAAACTTTTTAGTTCGTTACATTGTGAAATCTTGATAGTACCTTCACCACTTTGCCAGCTGCATTTCACTGATTTGTGATAACAATGATCATTTCTGATTGTAAACACACCAGTAAAGCTAGTCCATACAGACCTTCTGTTTACTCTGGTTTCCAATGTTTGCAGATTCTCTGTGTGTGTGTGTGTGTGTGTGTGCGTGCGTGCGTGCGTGCGTGCGTGCGTGTGTGTGCTGACAACTTCTCATACATGGCCAAAACTATGGACAGGTTGTACAGATAGCAGGCTTTGGCACTCGCCAGGAGAAAGAGTGTTACTATAGCCGATTGTTAACACAACCACACAGTATTACTACTCTTTTTCCTTCGTTTGAAAATACATATTTCCAAATTTTGTATCATTACTGTGTTTCGAAATGATGGCCAAAAACTCAATGATTTCAGATCCATTTGGGCCCAATTTGCCACTCCCACTGATCAGGACAGTGTAGCCTGATGAAAGGGATATTCTGGCGTAAATTTAAGTTATGGTCAAACATACCGTAACACTGAGTTAGACATCCCCCTGAGACATGAATGTTGCAGACTGCTTGCTTCTATACCAAGTATACCAACTTTGGTAATGACCGCAAAATAGCAATAGCAATGCAAGGCAGTCTATGTCTCTACGTGCAAATCGAGATGCTGAGGCAGAAGAACTACCACGTCTGCAGTGCACATACAAGACACACAAGAACTGTGATTGCATTTTAATGAAGTAATAATTATAAATGTTCTTCCTTGAGCTGCAAAACTCCGCTGCACTCGGTGATGGACTCGTCAGGGCTCTCCCACAAACAAGCGGCTTCTGGAGAAGAGTAGGTGAGTTGTGTTCAGTCTCTTTGCTTGAGAAACCAGGCAAAGGTAAAAAGATGTTTGGTGGCTAGTACTATGGCTGGGACCCTATATGTCCTGTTGATGAAGTTAGGTGCTGTTCTGAGCATTATTTGTGGCTATAGAGTGGCTTTTTGGTTGAGGTTTGTGTGTGGAGACATAGACTGCTGTGTATTGCTATTGTGCGGTCATTGCTGAAGTTGGTATAACTAGAGAAGCAAGCAGTCGGCAACATTCATCTCTTGAGGGGGTGTCTAACTCGGTGTTATGATGTGTTTAACCATCATTTAAATGTACGCCATAATATCCCTTTAAAGATCCAGGATACAACCCATTATTTGTCAGTTAATCCTTAAGTGTGTGGTGTCAGTACAAGAATTTTACTGCCTTCAACAGAGACTTAGAATCGTAAACATCAAACATGTTTGATATTTACATTTTGAGGTCAGACTGCCTCCAATAGAATATCAGAATCATCACCAACAGGATGTAGTGTACTTAACAGCTCACAATTATGGCAGCTAATGTAAACAAAAGCCGCACCTCTATGTTTTCTTCACCCATTTGTTTTTCTCGTTATTTGTTTTAGCTGCTAAACAGATCACATGCCAGGACAAACAGCTGATGACATTGATTGTCCTTGGTTTTAGTTTGTTTTTTGAAGTCACGTTTCATCACACATGCAAGTTTATTTGAGATATCTGTGGAGTCCCCACTGTGAAAACATTATCACAGACAATTAGTGTGTGGTGTAATATCAACACGTCATGATAATGTGTGGCCAGATTAAGTTGAGGAAAACTGCCTCAGTGTTTATATAGTAGGCTACTGTTTTAATCCAAGTTCACAAAGACCCAACAGAAGCCACTGTTATTATAAGACATTTAATAACTTGCTCAGCTGTAAAGTCAAGTCGCTCCTGCACCTTTTATTGATATTAATTAATCTTAATCTTTGGATTAGATAATTTAATCATTATGATTAGGTTACGCAATTTTTTGTGCAGTTGTGCTTCATTGGCACCATGTAAATAATGGAGAATATTTCTTTTTGATGTAGTAACCTACAGAATTTAAGTATTGATGCAAACTTTTTTTTGACTGCATACACAAAATACAGAATTTAAGAACATTGATCTCATCAACATCTTTATCATAAATTGTTATGGTTGAATTATGCTAGCCAGAAGTTTCCAGAGGAAGGCCACACGACACCCAAACCTGCAAAAACTTATGATTAAGGTCTGATGCTCCTGACAGTTTGAAACAGAAACACAGTCAACTTTTTACCTAAAACAAACAACAAAATAATACTGAATAAATGTGATATTTAAGGCTCTGGTGGGGAACTTTTAGATTCTAACCCCAATAATAAAGCAGGCTTTACTTATCTTGTCCTGCACATGCTTAAGTATTGATTTTGAAACATAATCACATCCTGCAGACTCCCAACAGTCAACTGTACTGTTGCTGTAAATAGAAA